ACTCAACACTTTCATTCCATAAACAATGTTTAAAGTACAGGAGGAGGCAACCCAAGAAGCTTGTCGTAATGAACAGAAGGAAAAGCCATCAAAATTTTTCCAAAACATATACACAAGAAGCTGCATCTACAGCATCAATCAATCTCTGCACTCAAAAAGCCACCACAAACAGCAGAATTTTGTTCATTCAGAGTTACAAAAAAGGCTATCAAAAGCAGCAATGCCAATTTCCATCCTTTCTGCGACAACGAAACGTAATGGTTTGGCAAATGTATGTGAGTGAACCATAACGTAGCGAAGAAGAGAGCTGGAAAGAGGAATACATTTCGGCTTCCCAAAAGGCCTCATCGACCATTAGACGTGCTCACAATCGTGTTTATTCTCTTGAAATTCAATTTTCAAGAATTGTGTTTTTGAGTTTCATCCACATTAATTATTGCAAATGGCAGAACCATCACGACCTGGATCGAGAGTGTGGAGTTCCAATCTCGAAATAGAGAAATTTGATGGAACCAATAATTTTGGTGTTTGGCGAGACGAAGTTAGCGATTTGCTGGTCATGCAAGACCTCGATGTTTCTCTCCAAGAGGAAATGCCTGAAGACATGACAGAAGCAGAATGGACGAAATTAAATCGACAATCCTGTGGAATTATTCGATCCTGTCTTGGCAAGGATCAGAAATATCCATTTATGAAGGTTACCATGGCGAAAGAATTATGAGACAAGCTTGAAGCGAAATATACGAAGAAGAGTGTGGAAAATAAACTCTATTTGAAGAAGAAACTCTTCCGTTTTGACTACAAGGAAGGCATCTCAATGGCTGAGCATTTGGATGATTTTAACAAAATCATCGCTGATTTGCTCCATCTTGATGTTAAGATTGATGACGAGGACAAGGCGTTGTTGTTATTAAACTCTTTGCCGGAATCATACGAGTTTTTAGTAACGACCCTACTACATGGAATCACTAATATCGATTTTGAAGATGTTTTAAATGCCTTAATAAACAATGAGATACGAAAAAAGGAAAAGGAGACGTATCAAAGCTCTAGCTCAAATGTTCTCACTGCGCATGGAAGGACTTCTAATTGGAAAAAGAACGAATGTGGAGAGTCTCGATTAAAGTCGAGAGGTAGATCTGACAATTGGAGAAAACTTGATAAAAATGAGTGTGCATATTGTCGACAAAAAGACCATTGGAAAAAGGATTGTTCGATCTTAAAAGAGAAGGGGTCGAAGTCCAATGTGGTTAGAGATGACGACATTGATACAGATGATGCCTTGACAATCTCCCTATCAGTCAGCCAAACCAGTGAATGGATTCTTGATTCTGGGTGCTCCTATCATATGTGTCCCAACAAAGAGATGTTTTTGGACTTCAAAAAGTTCAATGGTGGAGTTGTCTATATGGGCAATGATAGTACTTGCAAGATAATGGGAATCGGCTTAGTACAAATCAAGATGTTTGATGGGGTTATACGAAAACTCAAAGAGGTGAGGTATGTCCCTGACTTGAAGAAAAATTTGATCTCACTTGGCGTTTTGGATGCGAGTAGTTATCGCATCATTTAGGAAGGAGAGAATTTGAAAGTAGCTCGTGGAGCTTTGGTGGCAATTACAGGAACTAGAAGAGGTAGCATATACTACCTCAACGGAACCACAATAATTGGGCATGCTGCTGTGGCAAGTTCGAAAGAACAAGACATATCGAAATTATGGCACATGCGACTCGGGCATGCTGGTGAGAAGGCGCTTCAAACACTGGTGAACCAAGGAGTCCTTAAGGGTGCCACAACCGGAAGAATTGATTTCTGTGAACATTGTATATTTGGTAAACAAAAAAATGTGAAGTTTGGTACAGCTATACACAAAACAAAGGGCATTTTGGATTATGTTCACACTGATGTATGGGGTCCCACAAAGAATGTCTCATTGGGAGGAAAGAGGTGGTTCGTCACCTTTATTGATGACTACTCGAAGAGAGTTTGGATGTATCCCATGAGGCACAAAAACGAGGTTCTCCAAATCTTCCTAGAGTGGAAGAAAATGGTAGAGAATCAGACGGACAGGAAAATCAAAAGGCTGAGATCAGACAACGGGGAGAATATACTTATGATCCATTCCTTAAAGTATGCCGAGATGAAGGGATTGTTCGACACTTCACTGTTCTTGGTAAGTCACAACAAAATGGAGTTGCTGAGAGAATGAACCAGACATTAACAGAGAAGGTTCGATGCATATTGTCTCAAGCAAGATTGAGTAAAGCATTTTGGGCTGAGGCTCTCAGTTATGGTCAGGTAGTCCTGTTAGTGATTATGATAAATTGCATGTGTTTATGTGTCCTGCTTATTATTATGTGACATACTCAAAGCTGGATCCTAGAGCAAAAAAAGCCAAGTTTATGGGCTTTAGCAAAGGTGTGAAGGGCTATAGGTTATGGTGTCCAGAAACAAGTAAGATTGTTAATAGTCGAGATGTGACATTCGATGAGTCTGAAATGTTTTTGCAGAAAATTGAAAATAATGACGAGGCATTGAAGCAGGTGGAGAAGGTGGTGTTCTCTCCAGATGTGGTTGCTCCTACTAAAGAACCTATTGATCAGGTAAATAATAACTTTGATGTCTTAGAACAGAAAGAGCAAAGTCTTGAGGAGCAAAACCTTATAAATGAAAGAGTGGAGGAACCTGAGTCAATCGCCAAGAATAGACCACAAAGGGTAATTCGAAAACCTACAAGGTTTGATGATACGATAGCATATGCTTTCTCTTTGATTGATGGAGTTCCTAACAGTTACAAAGATGTTATTCAGAGCCCGGATAGCTTACACTGGCAAGAGGCTGTGAATCAGGAGATAGCATCATTGGAGATAAATCAAACTTGGGATTTGGTACAACTTCCAAAAGGTAAGAAGGAAATTGGTTGTAAATGAGTTTTTGCAAAAAAGGAAGACCCTTTTGGTATACGTTATAAGGCTCGACTTGTGGCTAAAGGTTACGCACAAAAAGAAGGTATTGATTACAATGAAATTTTCTCACATGTGGTAAAACATTCTTCGATTCGAATTTTATTGGCTTTGGTTGCTCAATTTAATCTTGAGCTTGCACAACTCGATGTAAAAACTGCCTTTTTACATGGAGATTTGGAAGAAGAAATATATATGGCGCAACCAGTTGGTTTCCGAGTAGTTGGACAGCAACATTTAGTATGCAGATTGAAGAAATCTTTGTATGGGTTGAAGCAATCCCCTCGCCAATGGTATAAAAGGTTTGATCATTTCATGGTAGAGCATATGTATACTCATAGTCAATTTGACCATTGTGTGTATTATCGATGTCTCGATGATGGATCGTTTATTTACTTGCTCTTATATGTTGATGATATGTTAATTGCTTCAAAGAGACAGTTGGAGATTGATAATCTCAAAGATGAACTTTCTAAAACATTTGAAATGAAAGACTTAGGCAATGCAAAGAAAATACTTGGAATGGAGATAGAGCGAGATCGAAAAAAAAGTACAGTCTGGTTGACTCAGTCTCAATATCTACGCAAGGTATTGTCAAGATTTAGTTTGAATGATTCAACCAAACCCGTTAGTACTCCACTTGCTCCTCATTTCAAGCTTAGTGCTTCCATGTGTCCAAGTTCTGACGATGACAAAAGGTATATGGAGAACATTCCTTATACAAATGTTGTTGGTGCGTTGATGTATGCTATGGTGTGTACTCGACCTGATCTTTCACACGCAGTAAGCATGGTGAGTCGTTATATGTATAATCCTGGTAAAGAGCATTGGCAGACTGTAAAATAGATTCTTAGCTGGTTTTGTGGATTCTGATTATGCTGGTGATTTGGATAAGCGACGATCTACTACGGGATATTTATTTACTATGGCTGGTGGACCTATTTGTTGGCGTTCAACATTGCAGTCTACTGTTGCATTGTCTACCACTGAAGCAGAGTATATGGCAGTAACGGAAGCTTTTAAAGAAGCTATTTGGATGCATGGTTTGATCAATGACTTGGGTATTTTGCAGGGACATATAGATGTATTTTGTGATAGCCAGAGCGCTATTTGCTTGTCAAAAAATCAAGTCCATCATGCTCGTACAAAACACATTGACGTCCGTTTTCACTTTATTCGAGAAATTATTAGCAAAGGGGATATTCGTTTACTAAAAATTGGAACAGCTGATAACCCTACTGATATGTTGACAAAGGTGATCGCTCGTGAAAAGTTCTATCATTGTTTGGATCTCATCAACATCGGAAGGAAGGAGTAGTGTGTTGACGTGGTAACAACCAAATTCGCTATCAACTTGGAGATCTTATGACAAGGTGGAGATTGTTATTCTCTAGGACCAAGACCTATTCTCAAGGTCTTGCTAATATTTTTAGGCTGGTTAGTTTATCTTTAGGTTTAGCAGAAGGCATTCTTTCTGCTGTTGAAAAAACAAGTTTATTGGGTGCAATATTGTATGTCTCGAGTGATTTTGGTGTTGTGAGTACATTTGTTTAGCTTACGGCTCTCAACACGTATCTGTTGGAGTTCCTCCTTCTTTCTTACTATTAACTCGTGCCCTGTTGAAGATCACTCTGATCCCTTCAGCTGGAGCAGGATATTTTTCATCCCACTCACCAAATTTGGACAGAGAATTACCCTTCTGAGCCTGCAAAAGGAACGTCTCAGAAAAGGAAAACAAAGGCAAAAAGTAAGGAAGATGAAGAAAAATATAAACAAAGAGAGCTTTCTGCCTCTAAGAGATCTCAATCCTTCTAACCTTCTCAAAGAGAGCTTCCATTTGCATTGTTGACAAAACGCAGCCTTCTGCCTCTAAGAAAAATATAAACAAGTCATCAGAAGATTTTTAAAAGATCATGGAAAAATTCTGCAAATACTTGAAGAATGAAGAAGAAAAGGTTTACCTTGTTCTTTCACCAACAAACAATTACACAATGATGAAACTTCCGCCTCCCTTTCTTTTAACTTTTCTTTATTTGCTTGACAAGTCTCCAGTTGACGACTAAGTTCAACATAGGAACTCTGAAATAGTTGTAAATCAGTCTCCAACTTAACTACCATATTCTGGTTCAAGTCCTTTTCCTTTCTAATTTTCTCAGTAGTTGCCTCAGTTTTTTCCAATATATGCTGCATATCTTGAATTCTACAAGCTGCAACTCTCAAACTGTTTAAATTGAACTTTTCTGCTAGCAGATAATAATTGTTCTGCAGCGGAAGCTGATTTGCTACAAGATGATTTTGCTCGAGACTCTGCAGGTGAAGCTCCACTAGTCTCACTACTTTCCATGGATATGGTATCCTTCAAGTTGTCAAGTTCGGGAATAGAGCTGAGTAGAAGTAGATGGTTGGTCATTTCAAACTGAAGCTCTTTTGTTGTGTCAATACAGGCAGACAATAGAAGGGAAACATCATCTTCTAGCATCACTTTGGTATGTTTTTGTTCCTGTTTATGCATTTCGAGATTCTTCACCATCTCTTTCAAGGATTCAATGTGTCCACACACAAAAACTACTTCCTCTCTTGTTGCTTCCACTTGTTTTAATAGATTAGCAATAAACCCATCCATTGAAGAGGAGATACCTTCAAAATAATCTGTGAACTTCTTGTTCTTTAACCAGATTTCTTCCATAATCTTTCTAAAAGATAATGAAATATTGCCAACATCATCTTCAACAACCACCTTATCACTTTCATTTGCAACAGCAAAATCAAGGAGCTTTCCATAAGAAAGAGATTCCTTAACATTCGGATCCTGGATTAAATTTAAAAGATGTAATCAGAATTAAAAGGCATATGGAATATTTGAAAATAATTAATTAGACATTTCACATATTTCTATGATGCAAGAAGCGGGCATGTCAATGCGCCCCTGGGGGAGGGGAAAAACTAGTCTTTATATGTTCATTATTAATACATTCAAAAGAGCATCAAATGGCTGCCTCCAGACAAGCAAAATTCAAATAAATAAATGGTGATTTTTTTCCAATAAGAAAATTGAATTTGAAAAGAAGGAAAGGAATACTGTAAAAAAACAAGTCACAAAAAAAATATATATATATCCGACCGAACCAAACAAAGGAGCTACCAAAATATACAAACATTAAAGGCACCAACCAACATAAACAAATTTCGACACAGAATAAACTTTGTATGCACTTGTTGAATATAATAGAAGTGAGTATTTTACCAATATTTGATATCCAGAAAAGCATGGGAAATTACCTTAACAGCATGGTGATCATGAGAATCTATTATGCCACTGTTAACTAGACAATCCTTGGTGTTCTTCAAAATGATATCCATCTCTCTTAGACTCTTAAGTTTCTTCTCAAAGCATCCTGTCACCACAGTCAACAATGTCTCATCTGCAATAAACTTATGAAGATCATTGAGGTAGCCCGCGAACTCTGCAGATCTGCTCTGTAAGCTGCCATTCATCCCAACCAACTCTTCCATGCATGCATTTAATTTGGAATTTAGAGCAAATATCTCATTTTCAGAATTTCTCCTCTTACCTTCAATTATAGAAATTGTACTTTCTGCCTTAAATAATGAATCTTCCAATGATTTTCTTGTTTCTGTCGCCTCAACAACTTTTCTCGCTTGAGAACTGACTTCCTCTTGTAATACCTTTCGTTCTGTCTCTAGCTTCTCTATACCACTTTGTGCTTCAGCATTCTGTTCCGTTAGTAAAGCAACATTGGTCTCAAGCTCAGTTAAAGTCTTTTCTAATGTGGATATAATTCCTTGGGCTTCTGCCAATTTATCTGTCTGGACAGCCACTGCCTCCTTTACTTTCTTAGACTCTATCTCTGCATTGAGTTTACAAACTTCAGCTTCTTCTTTCTCTCTGACAAGCACAGATACTTTATTTTCTGCCAGTGATAACGACTCTTGAAGTAGCTTCAGAGACAATGAAGCTTCCGCAGACTTGCTGGACTGTGAATAGGCTTCATTTAATGTTTTCTCTAATTCCTGTTCAATATGTATCTTACTAGATTCTATTTCCCTTCTTCAGAAAGCTGAAAAATGTTGTTCACAGCAGATGATAATCCATTTTCCAATGATTTCATAGCAGCTAAAGCATCTCCTAATTTAATTTCCATAGTACTCGACTCCTCTTTAACATTCTCCAATTCTTGTTCCGTACGTATCTTAGCATCATGAGATTTCCTAATGTAATCTGCAATCCACTTCACCTTAGCTATAGGCTCTTCAAAAACCATATTAATGGGAAGAACAATTCTATCAATTGATTCAATTACTTTCTGTAACATATCATTGCTCTCCAACAAGAACTGCCCGTATTGATTACATTTGTCCCTCAAGATGCCAAGTTCAGACTCCCAACTCTGGAATGCGTTGTGGATCAATAGACAACAAATTGATTTGATTTCTGCAATTAGCAACTGTCGACTCTAGACTATCTAATTGTAGTTTCAACTTCTCTATTTCTATGTTCTTGTCATCCAAGACACTTTTCATATTTTCCCTATCCTGAACCAGTCCTTTGCCTTTCTTAACAGCCAAGGACAACTTTTCCCTTAGCCATGCATATTTCTCCTCTAATCTTTGAAAATCCCTCTGCAAAGAGTCGTTTTCCTCTTTCGCTTCTCTAAGTTCTTGAGATACTGATCTTAACCTACTCGAGCAATTACTCAAATCAGAAGACTCCTCTTCTAGAACTATATCATAGAGCGTCAAATCCTGACGACTGACATATAAAAGAGCTTGAACCTTTTCAATACATTCCACATATTCACCTGAGATTTCAGCAGATGCACAAGCCTGCTCTTTTATCCTCTGAAAGCATCTGTAAACAAGCAAGTTCAAGTCCAACGAAGTTTCACTGACCCCTCCATCATCTGTTGTCACTCCAGATTCTTCTTGTAACATGTTTATGAGTTGAGCCTTCTCCAACGATGTCTGATGCATTTTTATCTTGACTTCTTCATATTTGCTTAAAAGGTCATCCAACTGCTCCTGGAGATAGTCCGTTTCCTGTAATTTAATTAAAAGTAAAGCACTTATGCGATCAATCTCTCCTTGTGCTGCATCTTTAGTTTTAGCAAGTTCGTCTTGCAAGACCATTATTTCATATTTAGCCTGAAAAAATGATTCCTTAAGCCAACAGACAGAAGATTTCAGGTCATAAGGTGCAATCAAATCCAGCCAATCAGATAAGTTTTGCAGTATCTTTTAACTTCTGAAACTCCAATAAAATAGCCTCCAGAACTTTCTTCTCATCCACAAGACACTTGAGTCTTTGCATACTGTCCATTGATTTAAGTTCCCGAGGAACTTCAATTTGAGATATAACATCCTCAAAACTTTCGAGGACCATATTCCTTTGCAACAGATTTTCCTGAAGTGATGCAACTAAAGTTTCACTTTCAGCCAAGTCAACCTTAATTAGTTCAGCAGTCTCCAAAGCATTTGATTTCTCTTGTAGTTCGACAGAATATTTTTCAAGCTCCCGACTTTTTTCAGCTAGAGACTGTTTCAATGCATCACGTTGCTGTACTAATGCCTTGCCTTTTGTCACAGCCATTGTTAACTTCTCTTTGGTATTAACACACCTTATCCTTTCTTGCTCCAGCTCACTTTTTACCTTTTCAAGTTCGCCATTAACAGTCTCAACTGTCAATCTGTAATTGTCTATCTTATCTGCCAATCTTCTATTTTCGTCTTCCAGATGATACATTTTTTCAGCATTGCTGACCTCTTTAGCTTTGAGCTCAATTAACTCAGTATGGGTAGTGGCCCAAATTGCTCCAGCTTCAGTGGAGATGATGTCTGACTCTGCCCCAGTTAAACATGATTGGAGTTGATTAATTTTCAGAAGGATTTTGTTATAATTATCAATTAACATAGAAGTATTTATTTCAACATGAAGTGTTTTTTCTGATATAGAATCGTCAAGAAGATGTTGCTGATTCAATACCGAGTTGAGAGACGTTAACACTCTATCTAATGTGGCTTCCATTTCCCTCTCCTTTGCAGACGAAACTTTCACAGAATCTTCAATTGAGTTCGTGTAAGAGCGAACAACTTCATCAGACACCGTATATTCAACAACTTTTGCATTAAGATACTCAATCGCTTGATCCTTCACTAAATGGTTATGACGGAGTTCTCCTATAGTAGCCTCGTACTGCAATCGTTCATCTAAAGTCCTATTAACCAACTGTGAGCATTCATTTACCAAGTCTTTCAATGTGGTATTAGAAATCAGAGTGTTCTCTTCCATGTGCTCAATTCCATGCAAATCAAGACTCTCATTCAACTGATTGCCAGTAACTTTGACCAATGACTGTCGATTAGTAGCAGTCTTGAGTTGGCCACAAATGATAAGAAGTTCTTGCACAAAAGCTTCTTTTTCTTTCTGAAAATCAAGCACCCAAAAAAGAAAGCAATTTAATACCACTCCAGAAGCATGCTACCACAACTGAGAGGGGGTGGTTTATGAACCTCAAAATCGTGTATGACATTTTCTTTCTCGAAAATGGTCCCATTCAGAGTGGCCCTCGTGTTTTCCACCTCGTCCATCAGAGAAACCTTTTCTATCTCATATTGTATTTCCTGTTGCATATCAGAAGGCGTTTCCTCCATCAAACTACCTTGAGTTTCAGTAGCAGCAACTGCTTCTTTGCCATCAGCATTGCCAGCTAACTCGTCCGGGCAGTCCACAAACATATCGTCTTTTCCAGCATCTTTGACTACTACAGTACCACCATCAGGGTCATCTTTTCCCGAGTTCTCTGCACCTTCAGTAAGAGGAGCCACTGGCGACAATGTTGATCTCTAAACACCATGTTCAAAACAATTTTATCTTCAAAACATTGTTTAATTTTCTTCTCTAATTGACAAGGAAAATTCATATTAAGACATTTCTGCAGCATCAACATGTGAATAAATGCTAAACTAACCTGGTTCGGCACAGAAGGGGAGAATCCACTGGACACTTCAGAGGACTGCAAAACGGAGTCATTCTCCGAAGTCGCGTCCGCGGCAGTCTCAGAAGATGACTCCCCAACATTAACATGGAGCACAGTTTCCACCCCTTCAGCTCCATTTCCTGAACTCTGCAGTGCCGGCTCTGGACCATGATTCTCAGACATGTCGATATCTTATAACTCAATCGCCTTAACCTCAACGAGAACTATATCTCAAACAGAATAAAACAATGCTGGGAAATCAAGAAGCTGAATAGAATTTTAAAATGAGACCTAAATTGAATCAAATAACCATTAAACCCACAAAAGCTACGTTCAACCTCCAATTCGGTGAATTAAAAGAATCAAAAAACAATAAAGACATCCAAATGACGCGTAAAAGAACTGGAAACCAACAAATTCACGGTCGTGATTCTGTAAAATGGATGAGTAATTGTCAGCTATCGATACTGGATCAACGACTCGACCACCTGTTCCACATGAATCTGCAGAGTTCATACAATTCACTTCGCAGACCAATTGATCTGATTTAGCGCCATGCTTCGTCTCCTGTAATTTAGTTTGAAGGCGATGGGTAAAAAAATTAGAACGTCTCTTCGAATCTTAACCGTTCATTTTTAATTTTTTTTTTTAACAGTCACATTAAAATTATGGGTGGTAATTATTTGAAATTTTGTATTCGTAGATTAAAGTTCTCCAATTCTAGCCCTAGTTTTTTATTATTATTATTATTATTTATTATAATTTTACCTTTATTGGCGTAGTAAATTTTTTAACTAAATTTTTTTTCATTAAATAATCCACCCAATCTAATTTATTATTCGAAAAAGTAAATTATTAATTTTTTGTTTTCAAACATTTAATTATATTTATCGTTAATATGTGCTATTTATATTTATTTATTTGCTTGTAAATTGACATCAATTTATAATAGTTTAATTTGTTATATTATAAACATTATGATTCAAATATAGTAAAAGTTAATGATAACACATTTATGATTCAAATATAGTAAAAGTTAATGATAATCCAAACGTCAAACACTAGTACCTTAAAAAAAACAAAATTTTGTGTATATATATATTTTATCATCGTCTTTTTAAACTTTTTTGTTGTTTGTTCTCGACTAATGTCTGGTGGTTGAGTCCTACAATATTATTTAAATAATAATTTTTGATTAATGTGTTCGATCAAAAGATGTAGTAGGCATTAAATGACACGCTAATTTAAATCTAACTTGTTGGATAATGAGACTACATAGATGAACCAGACCACAGTCGAAAAACCTCCACCTTCTCTTGGGGGCCAACGTCCTTGCTGGTACATCATCCGATGACTGACTCTAATACCATTTGTAACAACCCAAACCCACCACTAGCAAATATTTATCGCTTTGGTTTGTTACGTATCGCTGTCAGCCTCACACTTTTAAAACGTGTTTGCTAGGAAGAGATTTACACACATTTATAAGGAATGTTTCGTTCTCTTCTCCAACCAACATGGGATCTCACAATACACCCCCCCTTGGGGGCCAGTGTCCTCCCTAGCACACCGTCCAATGACTGACTCTAATATCATTTGTAACAGTCCAAGTCCACTGTTAACCAATATTGTTTGCTTTGGCTTGTTACGTATCGCCATCAACCTCACGATTTTAAAACGCGTCTACTAGGGAGAGGTTTCCACACTCTTATAAGGAATATTTCGTTCCCCTCTCTAACCAAGGTAGGATCTCACACCCCAAACTACACGAACGAACGGAATCATCCCATCCATGCCAACAAAACATATAATGCACTCCATCAGAGACCAAATTCATCTTTATTGACAATTAGTGCATTAGAAAAGGCACTTTCAAGTATATAACATACACGAGCCGAGAGGCAGAGATGATTGATTGGCATCTTACACTGATTCATTATTAATTCTAACTAAGCATTTCATATGATCAACTATTCTATATTAAGCAGGGAGGATATGTTCTGACCTTCACGTTTCGCGACGGGATTTTCCCTCTATACAGTTTACTCGGACGTCTGAACTAAATTAGATATTCGGAATATACTGCGAAGAGTGCATCTGGATAGTCTTTAGGCAGGCTGTTTATATATCGACGAAAGCACAACATATCCTCCTTGGAAACGGTTTCGGCATCGACCACATCATCGCTACAGGTGAGCACCCATAAGTCCTCTGAGTTGACTCTCTTTAAGCTGCCACGACAAAATGGACACGACTCCGACCTCGTGTTCCTGCAGTGTAGGAAGAACAAGCAATTGAGCATAAATGCCACTTCAAAACGCTTTGAAGGCAATGAAGATGCTTAACAAGACTTGTTTTTACCAATTTCGATAGCATTTGATGCACATTGCATGACAGCAATTAGGCAAAACCATCTTCGTGCACTGCTCCAAACAAATACCACACTCGTCTTCTCGTTTCATATCGATGTTCATGAGTCTACCATCTTTATCACCTCTTTTCTTGCTAGGCATCTCAATCCAACGATGCTCTTCCTCGAAATCGTCCAACTTATCCAAACTACCGTGGATTTGCTGAAGCGAAGGCAATATTATAGCTGGTATTCAAGACATGAAAAAACACGCTAGATTAGAATATACCGAACTACTTAAAAAGGAAAGAACATCAGCTATCAAACTAAACAAGTGAGTACCGTAGAAGTCCCTAATAGTTGCCTTCCTTCCATGCCTTGATATATTTCGTTTTTGTTTTCCCTCTGGATGTACCTGAATGGATAAAAGATCTAGAATAAGATACCTATAATGATTCAATAATATACAGCTACAAAAGCCAACAGACCTTGTACACAAGTATGTGGAAGAGGCTTAAATATCTTGGGAGCAAGCATGTGCAAGAACAGTCCATCCATTGAAGCAAAAACAGAGCAATAGGAGCCAAATGATTGTAAACCAACTTCATTTGAAGATAGCCACCCCCTTTTTCCATGGGGATTGCAGCCGCCCTACAATACCAAAAATCAAACAAACAAACAAATCAGACGTCTAGCCCAAGAGGGTGGATTGTGAGATCACACATTGATTGGAGAGGAAAACAAAGCATTTCTTACAAGAGTGTGAAACCTCGGGTGTGAAGGACGCTGGGTCTCAAGAAGATGGATTGTGAGATCACACCTCATTTGGAGAGAGGAACAAAATATTGCTTATAAGAGTGTGGGAACCTCAGGCGTGAAAGACGTTGGGTCCCAAGGGGATGGATTGTGAGATCACACATCGGTTGGAGAGGGGAACAAAGCATTTCTTATAAGAGTGAAGGACGTTGGGGTGGATTGTGAGACTACACATCAGTTGGAGAGAGGAACAAAACATTCCTGGTAAAAGTTTGGGAACCTTGAGTGTGAAGAACACTAGGCCCAAGGGGGTAGATCACACATTGGTTCAAGAGGGGAACAAAGAATTTCTTATAAGAGTGTGGGAACCTCTGGCATGGACGCTGGCACCGAAGGAGGGGGTTGATTGTGAGATCACACCTCAGTTGGAATGGGGCATTTAAAAACAAGAGGCTCGAAAGAAAAAGCCTAGAAAGGATGATATGTACTAGCTATGGGTCTGGGCTGTTACCCAACAATTTATACCCCTTTTCAAACAGCAATTTCTTTCTATTTTGGGATAAACCAAACTAGTCTAGGCAGAAACATAACCCATTCGTTCTTTCAAGTTGCAAACAAAGAAACCGATCATCACGATTGAAACGGAAAAGCAAGAAAAAAAACTCAACACAATTTAAAGGAGTAAAAGAAGAGTAAGAGAAAAAGAAAACTCACAGAGAATTTGCATACTGAATATCCGCCTCCAAAACCTCCAAAGAATCCTGATGAGAGAATTTCTCCAGCTGATAATACATAATCTGAAAGATCCCTTCCCTCTTCCACAAGAAACCACTGAAAACAAACAGAAAACCAAAGCGTAAAGCTCCTCCTCCCAGTGGGCTATGCCAAAAGATGAACCCTACCCTTCAAAAAACACCGAAGATCGAGAAGGGTTAGCCCCAAACCCACTTTCGAAACCCAAAAAGAACAAGAACCCTAATTTTCTCAATCTTTTAGGCGGTTTGTCCTTTAGTCAATAGGGCGGCGTCAGTGAAATGACCTTTACTTCCCTTTTGTGGTCAGAAAAAGCTCCCAGAAGAACAAGTTTCAGCTGAGATTATGACGATGAAGAAAATGAAGGGCAGAGTCCGTAATGGGTTTGTTGGCGGATGCCGTTTGAATTATTTATTTATTTATTTTCCTTTTTAATAAATCTTAATTTTCAATCTTATCCATCCAAAACATATTCCTTCATTGCTTGTGAAGCTGGTTTCCTTTCAATATTATATATTTTCTTATCTTCCATTATTGAAAACTATAATTATTATTTTAATTAATTGTACCCATTTAATTTCAGATTAGTTGGCCTAATTAATCAATGTTGGCCTAATCTACCAATATTATTTTAAATAAATTTTATACAAATTAAAAATTAATTATTACCTACTAATCATTAGTAAATTCATCCAATTATTTCCACCTTTCAAATGCTTCAATCGAAATATAGTTTTTCAAAAAATTATTTTATTTGCTAATATATTAAAAAAAAAATCAATCATAATAAAATTTCCGAATAAAATTTCAAATCTTTAGAATTAATTACAATTGAAATTTGATACCTAATCAAATATCCTTAAATATATTAATTTTTATTTTTAAGAGTCAATATGTCCATATATATTCATATTCTCATTATTATTATTTTTGTAAATTAATAATCATTAATTAATTTAACTATCTAACCAATCATAATTAACTTCAAAAAAAAATATTATGATTGATACTATTTTTTTATATTGTTAATTTTATGTGTTTACATCATCATTTGATTTGAATTACTTAACTTTATAAAATGTCAAAACTCTACATTTTAGTTTTTTTCTCTTTTTAACGAACTTTCGTCCCATGTTTCTTCCATTTTGGTAATTTTCATATCGAATTCAATGTTTAATTAAAATTTTCAATACAATAATTGATGTCGAACATGCAACTCAGAAGAAAATAGTGCACACCAATTAATTCTGAATTAAGCTCACTTTGATTACTTTATTTTTCGTTTTACAAATATTCACTTAGCAAGGATTTGACGCTTAACGTCGGTCCAAGTTTGACCTAGACTCGACCCAAGTTTGGTATAGTGTCAAAATTTGACCGACAGACATACACATTTATTTATTGGAGTCGATATAAATTATTTTTTTTAGAGCCAACTACCAAATAGTCAGCTCGCTTAGTCCATATTTGAATCGTGTATATATATTTTTTTATAAAGTAAAACGTTTAATATTTATTCTTAAATGTATATTTTAGAGTCTAACATCATAGTTTTTAGTTAATACAAAATTTTAAAAGGGTTGAAAATTTCCAACAATAAATTAAAAATAAAATACTAAATGAAATTGTATAGTATTAATAAATTTATCCATAAAAAAATAATAAAGTACCAGAAATTTAAAATAAAAAAATATAAATTTAATTATATTTAATAAAATTTATATTTATACCTATTAACCTATATTTAATATTTAGAATAATCCACGTCAACCATAAAAAAAAATTCAATTATGTTGAAGAGAATCTCTAGAGAAAACAAATCAATAAAAACAAATTCATTAGATTCTAAAATAATAAAACATTTTAGTTATAGGTAAAATATTATCATAAATGAGAGTATTTTAAATAATTTTATTACTAATTTTAGATAATTAAATATTGTTAACCTAAATTAAATATATAATTAAAAATTTATTATAGTGAAACTATTAATTATAATAATGTTGTAAACTAAGATCAATTAACTAATTGAATTTGTTCAAAATAAAATAAATAAGATACAAATATTATCAAAATGTTATATAAATAAATAATCTTTTTTATAATTCTCATAATTACATTTACGTTAGTTAATTTTTAGATTAATCATGTTGTTTATTAATTTATTTTTATTTTAATAAAATTATTAAAATAAATTTAACCAATTAAATTTAACTTAATTTTTATTCATTAACGAGTATATTATAAATAATATGACTTTAAGTTTTCGAGTTGATTTTGTCGCCAATATTAATAATAATTTTCAAGCAAATGATTTATAAAAAGAATTAAGAAGAGAAAAATAATAAACATAAATAATAAAATAAATCATATTAAAAAAACAAAAAATAATGTAAAAAATAATAATAATAAATAAAATAAAATAAAATAAAACCATTTTTTATGACTTTTTCAAGGCAAATATTTAAATCACTCACGTATTGATAAAACCAAAGTTTTAATTCATTTCAAGAAATGCAATTCTGTCTTTTTGAGTTCCTCACAATTGTTCATTGTTTTACCTGTGCAGGTTTCAACTTGGTGTCGTCAGTGTTGTTCCTACCGAACAATATTACGTCACGGTATCGGTATCGTTTTATCGTACATTACCTGAAAATCATGTTGGAGATGTCGGGACCTTACCTTGCAGAGGGAAGGATGGAACCATCGGGGCTCTCGATCTCAAGAAAGCTCGTCAGCAATGTTTTTCGAGATGATTGTGCTCTTGAACAGCCTGAAGATTGCTTCTGGTTTCCTTCATTACCATGTTCAATCTTGATTGCATCTTGTATGGCCAAGATGACTTCCTGCATCCTTGGCCTGGAAGCTCCATGCTGCTGCACACACTGTATGGCTACTTCAGCAATTCTCCACACTGATTCTATTTTCACATTTCCTTCTAGAAATGGATCCACAACGCTCGTCACGTCCCCCTTATGGACCAGGGACCTCGCCTGTATAAACCAATCAATCGTGTCAAGACTCGAGCACTATGATGTAACAGCTCAAACCCACCACTGGCCGATATTATCCTCTTTGAATTTTAAAACGCATTTATTAGGAAGAGGTTTTTTATGAGGAATGTTTCCTTCCAATTTTAGAGACAGGGTGTGGAAACCTCTCCTCACGTCAGTACATGCGTTTTAAAATCTTGAGGGGAAGTCTATGAAGGAAAGCCTAAAGAAGACAATATTTGCTAGCGGTGGGACTGTTACAAATGGTATCAGAGCCAATCACCGGAAGATGCGAGGCATTAGTTGGAGTAAGGCTAGACCTTCTCCACTGTAGACGCATTTTACAACCTTGAAGGAAAGTCCGAAAGGGAAAGCCAAAGGAGGACAATATCGGCTAGCGGTGGAACGGTTACAAATGGTATTAGAGCCAATCATTGGTTGGTGTAGGGCTAAACCCTCTCCATAGTAGATGCGTTTTAAAGCCTTGAAGAAAAGTCCGAAAGGAAAAGTCTAAAGAAGACAATATCTGCTTGCAGTGGGACTGTTATAAATGGTATCAGAGCCCATCACCAGATGGTGTGAGGCATTGGTTGGAGTAGGGCTAGACCCTCTCCATAGTAGACACATTTTAAAACCTTGAAGGGAAGTCCAAAAGGGAAAGCCCAGAGAGAACAATATCGGTTAGCGGTGAGGCTGTTACAAATGGTATCAAATCCAATCACCAGTGCAAGGCATTAGTTGGAGTAGGGCTAGACCTTCTCCATAGTAGACACGTTTTAAAATCTTAAGGGGAAGTCTGAGAGAGAAAGCCCAATGATGACAGACTAGCGGTGGAACTTACATATGATAATGGGTCGAGTCGAAAGAACTTACATACCCAGTGAACAATGTTCAATTCACTGCCATAGTCTTCTGGTGAGACAGGTTTCTTTCCAGAGATCAGTTCTAGCAGCACCACCCCGAAGCTATAGACATCGCTCTTTTCGGTAAGTTGTTGAGAAGCATAGTACCTGTTATTTTCACGTGTTCATGGTCATGCTTGTGAGCAGGTGCAAGGGGACAGGGTGGAATACGTTATGGAAAAACAATAAAATTTGGCATACTCAGGATCCAAGTAGCCTACGGTTCCTCGAGCAACGCTTGATACATGGGTCAAATCTTCCTCGGCTTGCCTCGAGAATCCAAAGTCGGAAACTTTTGCCCTCAAATTGATGTCGAGGAGTATATTGCTAGTTTTTACATCTCGATGAATGATACTTGGGCTGCATCCCGTGTGCAAATACTCGAGCCCTGAAAACGATCAATTCATTTACAGAAAAAGCTTGAAGATGTCCTGAAATTCAGTAAAAAAGAACACAGTTTATCAGTAGGATGAACCTTTAGCTGCATCTTCTGCAATGTGCAGGCGAGCCAACCAGTTCAAGTGCTTTTGAGTCGTAGAACCTGCCGATAAATGATTAGTAGAGAACGACACAAAAACGAAAACTTCTTAAGCCTGGACAGACGAGCAAACCGTATAAGTGATCTCGTAACGTTCCATTATGCATATATTCATAAACCAGAATCCGTTGATGTTCTTCTTCGCAGTAGCCGATCAAAGGGACCAAATTTCGGTGATGAATTCTCGATAAGAGGGCAACCTGTCGATATTTAACACGGTCAGTATACTGTTAGCTAAAGAGTACATAGTTCTCTCTAGACCAACGACCTACCTCGGTCGCAAATTGTCGATTCCCATGTGTAGACGACTCGGCCATGATTTTAACTGCCACTTCCTTGCCATCGTTCATCTTCCCATAATAGACTGATCCAAAGCTGCCTTTACCAATTTTCTTTGAGAAGTTATTCGTGGCTTCTTCGAGCACGGAGAGAGATAAATAGTAGGCCATGCCTTCATCGCCCTTGCCGATCGAGTAGGCAGAAGAGCGCTTAGTGCTGGTTTGCAGCGAACCACCTAAGGTCCACAAGACGAGAGAATTCAGAAAATAAAAGTCGTGCTATACGAGAAATATTAAGCAGGTTTCAAGCGGGAACCTTTTTTCTGGTAAGGCGCTGTTCTTTGAAGCTTGCGGAGTAACAGCAAACTTCCTATAAGTAGAATAATCAGGAGCACAAACGCTCCCAGAGAAACTCCGATAATAAGCTTAGAATGCATATTGAATCGTCGATTTTTGTGCAGCCCCAAGTTACCATCGTACCTGCAAGATACGATCATAAAGACATAAAACAAACATGTCGAGACTCCTCTTCGTGTCTTGTTAAAACAGTTCGTTCTTGTTAAAACACATCAAGAAGCCATGAACATGTGAACTATTTTGTCATATCTTACAATGTTCAATCTAGATATACTTCATGCAAGGAATAAGGATCAATTGATTTCATTTCTACT